CCATCAGTGGGATGAAGGTTCATTGCAGAATGGCCATAGGAGGGGTGAATGGTCATCGGGGTGTGCAGGGTGACCATAAGGTGAGGGACGACCGGAGGGTGGACACTGAGGAGCCGTGGGTGATGTGTCCCCAGAGCTGCCCACGCTGCGCATGGCCTTCGCCGTGGTGGGCAAGGGCGCCTTGGCCGCCTCCTTCAACTGCGCCTACATCTTCACTGGGGAGCTCTTCCCCACCGTCATCAGGTGGGTGGGGTCACCCCAGCCCCGCCCCCACCCAGCCAGTCACCATCCATCCATCCATCCATCCATCCATCCATCCATCCATCCATCCATCATCCATCTATCATCCATCCATCATCCATCCATCCATCCATCATCCATCCATCCATCATCCATCCATCATCCATCATCCATCCATCCATCCATCATCCATCTATCATCCATCCATCCATCCATCCATCATCCATCCATCCATCATCCATCCATCCATCCATCATCCATCATCCACCCATCCATCCATCCATCCATCATCCATCCATCCATCCATCATCCATCCATCCATCCATCCATCCATCATCCACCCATCCATCCATCATCCACCCATCCATCCATCCATCATCCATCCATCCATCCATCATCCATCCATCCATCCATCCATCCATCCATCCATCATCCACCCATCCATCCATCCATCCATCATCCATCCATCATCCATCCATCATCCACCCATCCATCCATCATCCATCCATCATCCATCCATCCATCCATCCATCCATCCATCCATCCATCATCCATCCATCCATCCATCCATCCCTGTGTCCATCCCTGTGTCCATCCCTGTGTCCGTCTGTCCGTCCCCCCGCAGGCAGACGGGGATGGGCCTGGGTGGCACCATGGCACGCGTGGGCAGCATGGTGGCCCCCCTGGTGCGGATGTTGGCCGACGTGACCCCGGTGCTGCCCTTGGTCATCTACGGCGCCGCGCCCGTCGTGTCGGCCATCGCCACCTGCTTCCTGCCCGAGACCCGCAACGCGCCCCTGCCCGAGACCGTCAAGGACGTGGAGAGGAGGTGAGGACACCCCAAAACCCCCTGAGACCCCAAAACCCCCCTGAGATCCCCCAGAGACCCCAAAACCCCCCTGAGACCCCCAGAGACCCCAAAACCCCCCAGAGACCCCCAACGCTTCCATGGGGACAACGTCCCTGTTCTGGGGTGGGGTTGGTTCTTGGAGGAACCCAGGAGCTTTGGGGATGAAAAGGGATGGAGAAGGTTTGGGGTTGGGTTGGAAGTTTGGGGTTGGGATGGAAGTTTGGGATGAAGATTTGGGGTTGGGATGGAGGTTTTGGAGTTGGGTTGGAAATTTTGGGGTGGGTTGGAAGGTTTTGGGTTTGGGATGAAAGTTCGGGATTGGGATGGAAGTTTTGGTGTCAGGAAGTGTTGACACTTTTAGCAAGACCTGAACATTTTGAGGACAACACTGAAGGTTTTGAGAAATTTGAAAATTCTGGGATTGGGGAGGACAAAAATTTCTGGGATTTTGGGGATTTTTGGGAGATTTTGGGGTCCCTCCAGGGCGGGTCACCTCGATGACGACGACGTCGCCGTCCCCCTGAGCAGCACCAGCACCAAGGACGGCGCCTGAGGGGGGGTTTGGGACCCCCGGGGGGATTTGGGGGCCGGGACCCCCCTGGGGTCCCCCCAGCCCCTCCCCCAGCCCGGGTTATTTATTCAATCCCAATAAAATCTCGTGGGAATTTCGGGAATTTTGGGATTTGGCTCCGCCCACGGCCGTTGTGGGAGGGGCCTGAGGGATTTGGGGGCGTCCCCACCCCCCAAAGGGGGCTCAGACATCGGGGACCCCCCCCGGAGTTCGTTAACGAGCGTTAATTGGAATTAACGTTAATTGGAGCTTGGCGGCCTTTGCCCCAGTTCCGGAGATTTGGCTGCAAAATAAATCTGGGAATTAATTCGCGTTTCCAGGCAGGGAAAAAAACCCAAACGGGGCAGATTTAACCCCAAAAAGGGGCAGAACAACCTCAGGAGAGACCCCTTGGACAAATCAGATCCCAATCCCAAAACTGGGGTTTTTCACCCCAAAAAAAGGGCAGAACAACCTCAGGAGAAACCAGACCCCAATCCCAAAATTGGGTTTTTCACCCCAGAAAAAGGGCAGGACAAACTCAGGAGAAACCCCTTGGAGAAGCCACATCCTAATCCCAAAATTGGGATTTTTCACCCCAAAACAAAGAGAGGCACAACCCAGGATGGGCCCTTGGAGAAGCCACATCCTAATCCCAAAACTGGGATTGTTCACCCCAAACTAAAGGGCATACCCACCCCAAACTCAGCCCTTAAAGAAACCCCATACCAACCCCCCAAACTGGGCTTTTTTACCCCAAATCCAGGCACCCACCCATCAACCCCAAATCCCCAATTTTTACCCCAAATCCACATTGTGCCCTAAAATCCTATTTTTCCTCCAAAATCCCTCATTTTTGCCCCCAAATCCCCAATTTTTCCCCCAAAATCCCCAATTTCCCCCCCCAAATCCCACCTTTTCCCCCCAAATTTCCTTTTTTCCCCAATCCCTCCCATTTTTGCCCAAAAAACCCCACTCACTCCATTTTTTGCCGTTTTTATTACGAAAAATGAGCGTTTGGAGCCATTCGGAGCCGTTTCGGTGGCGTTTCGCTCGTTCCCGGCTAAGACACGACCGTGAAGCTTCGCCCGGGGCAGTTTTGGGGTGAATCCCCCCGGTTTTGGGGCATTTCCGTGTCCCCGCCCCCGGCAGGGCACCAAAAAGGGGGAAAATTTCCCATTTTGAGCCAAAACGGCGCCGATTCCCCCCAAAATGGCGCTCGGGACGGGGAGGAGAGAAACCGCCGGGATGGGGCCTCGGGCCGGGATTTCGGGGGGAATTTCAGGGATTTGGGGCAATTTGGGGCAAATTTTCAGTCGTTTTTGGGGTTATTTAGCCCAATTTTGGGGTATTTCGGTCATTTTTTGGTGATTTCCATTTTTTTGGGGTTATTTAGGTCAATTTGGAGTTTTATTTCAGGATAGTTTGGGTTTTAAAAATAATTTTGAGGGATTCATCATCACTTTGGGGTTATTTCATAATGTTGGGGCTTTTGGGGTGATTTTGGGGTTAGTTTGGTCAATTTGGAGTTTTATTTCGGGATATTTTGGATTTTAAAACGGATGTTTTCAACATTTTGGAGTTATTTAATTACTTTGGGGTTATTTCGGTCATTTTGGGGTTATTTTGGTCAATTTGGAGATTTATTTGGGGATATTTTGGGTTTTAAAAATAATTTTGGGGGATGCTTCATCACTTTGGGGTTATTTAATTATTTTAGGGTTATTTGGGTCATTTTGGGGGTATTTTAGTGCTTTTAGGGCTATTTTGGTCTCTTATTTTTTTGGTTATTTGTATAATTTTGGATTCCTTCAGTCATTTTGGGGTTATTTGGTCAATTTTGGGGCTATTCCAACAGAATTTCAGTAAATTTGGGGCTACTTTGGTCATTTTGGGGCTATTTTGGTCAAACTTTGGGCTGTTTCAGTGATTTTGGGATGATTTCATTTGGTGCATTATTTCGGTCATTTTTGGGGTTATTTTCCCCATTTTTTGGGGTTCATTTTGTCCATTTTTTTCAGGCTATTTTGCCCATTTTTTGGGGGAATATTTTGCCCATTTTTGGGGGTTATTTTGCCCATTTTTTGGGGGTTATTTCGGCCATTTTTGGGCTATTTTGCCCAATTTTTTGGGCGGTTATTTTCCCAATTTTTTGGGGTTATTTTGGCCATTTTTTGGGTTATTTCCCCCATTTTTTGGGGTTATTTCCCCCATTTTTGGGGTTATTTTGGCCGTTTTTGGGGCCCATCCCGGGGGCTCCTCTCGGGGGGTCCAGGGGGGGTTTGGGGGTGCAGGGGGGGAGGGGCACTCGGAGGTAGGTGCTTTAAAGTTCATTTATTTTTGTGTTTTTTTAGAAAAACAGGCACATTCAGTCCACGGGACCCGGGGAGGGGAAAATTTGGGGGGAATTTGGGGAATTTTGGGGGTTCCCACAGCCCCAAACCCCTCCCCTGCCCCCCAGCGGCGTTTTGGGGCCAAAAGGGGCTTTTTGCACCCCAAAATTTGGGGCTTTTGCCCCATTTTGTGGCAATGGGGGGGAATCCCCAAATCCAGGGATTCTGCCCCATTTTGGGGTGGGGGAGGGGTAAGGCCTGGTGGGGGTGGGGGAGGGGCCGGGAGGATCCTGAAGGGGGGGGGGGGAATGCGGGAAAATGGAATAAAAATCAAAGTGGGAAAAAAATCCCTCAAAACGTGGAAAAAACAAGCCCCAAAATCGCCCCAAAATTCCCAAAAATAAAAGGGGGGGAAAGGGAAATTTGGGGGAGGGGGGTGAATTTTGGGGTGAAATTCTGGGAATTGGGGAGGGAGGGATGAAAGTCACCCCAAAAATGTCAGGAGGGGAAAAATTGGGAAAAAAAGGAGCAAAAATTGGGAAAAAAAGGAGCAAAAATTGGGAAAAGGAAGGAAAAAAAAAGTGGAATGAAGGGAATGGAAGAATTAAAAAAGAAAGATGGAAAAAGGTGAAAAAGGAAGGGAAAAAAGGGAAATAGAAAGGTGGGAAAAGGGAATGAGAGGATAAAAGAAAAAGAAAATAAAAAAAGGGAAATAAAAGAAAATTTAAAAAAGGGAAATAAAAGAAAAAGGACCCCCAAAAAAGAGGAAAAAAGACTCAAAAAAAAAAGGGAAATAAAAGGGGGAAAAAAGACCCCAAAAAAAGGGGGGAAAAGCCCAAAGAAAAAGGGAAAAAGGGGGAAAAAGACTCAAAAAAAAGGAGGAAAAGGACCCAAAAAAAAAAAGAAGGGGAAAAGGACCCAAAAAAAAGGGAAAAAAATACCCAAAAAAGGGGGGAAAAATACCCAAAAAAGGGGAAAAGGACCCAAAAAAAAAGGGAAATAAAAGGCCCCGAAGCCGAGGGGGTGAGGATGAGGAGGGACGGGCGTGGGGGCGAGGGTGGGGATGAGGATGGGGAGGAAGAGCAGGATCAGGAGCTGTTCTGGTTCTGGTAAATCGACGCCTTCTCCTTGAGCAGGTCCAGGCAGAGGTGGCAGCTCCAGCTCCCTGCAAAAACAGTTAATGAAACAGTTAATTAATCAGTTAATTAACCAATTAATTAATCACGGGCGTTAATGAGAGAGGAGTGGATGGGGAGGGGAAGAAGGGAAAGGAGGAAGAGGAGGAAGAGGAGGAGGAGAAAGGAGGAGAATAAAGTGGAGGGAGGAAGAGGAGGAGGAAGAAGAGAACAAGGAAGAGGGAGAAGAAAGAAAGAAGAAAAGGAGAATGAAGGAAGAGGAAGAAGAGGAGGAAGAAAAGGAGGAATGAGGGAGGAAGAGGAGGAAGAGGAGGAGGAAGAGGAGGAAGAGGAGGAGGAAGAGGAGGAAGAGAACAAAGAGGAGGAAGAGGGAGAAGAAAGAAAAAAGAAAAGGAGAATGAAGGAAGAGGAAGAAGAGGAGGAAAAAGAGGAAGAAGAGGAGGACAGGAGGGAAGAAAACGAGGAAGAGGAGGAGTAGGGAAAGGAGGAAGAGGAGGAGGAGGAAGAGGAGGATTTGGGACAATTAAACCCCTCCCCACATCCCAGCAGGAAACCCAGGAAGAACCCGGAGGGATGGGGAACCCCAGGGTGGGGTTTGGGGTGGAATCCTCAGGATCGGGAACCCCAGGGTGGGGTTTTGGGGTGGAATCCTCAGGGATCGGGAACCCCAGGGTGGGGTTTGGGGTGGAATCCTCAGGGATCGGGAACCCCAGGGTGGGGTTTGGGGCAGATCCCAGGGCAGGTTTTGGGGTGGAATCCTGAGGGATCAGGAACCCCAGGGAGGTTTTGGGGCGGAATCCTGAGGGATCAGGACCCCAGGGAGGTTTTGGGTGGAACCCCAGGGAGGTTTTGGGTGGAACCCCAGGGAGGTTTTGGGGCGGAATCCCAGGGGATCGGGAATTTCAGGGGGGTTTGGGCAGATCCCAAGGGATGAACAATCCTAAGCGGGGCTTAGGGCAGGATCCCAGGGGATTGGGAACTCCAAGGGGGTTTTGGGGTGGAATCCTGAGGGATCAGGGATTTCAGAGAAGGTTTTGGGGTGCAGTCCCAGGTGATCGGAATCCCAGGGGCTCAGGAACTCCAGAGAAGGTTTTGGGGTGGAGCTCCAGGGATTACCAATCCCAGGATGGGTTTTGGGGTGCGATCCCAGGGCACTGGAACCTGTGGGAGCAGCACTCACCCTCGGGGGGCTCGGCCATGGGCGGGGTCAGGCAGTACATGTGGTACCCACGGTCGCAGTCGTCACAGAACAGCAGCTGGTCCTGCCCCGGGACATTCCCGTCACTTCTGGGCCATTCCCAGGTGGGTTTTGGGCACCCCCAGGTGTTTTTTTGGCACCCCCAGGTGGTTTTTGGGTACTACAAGATGATTTTTGGCACCCCCAGGTGGTTTCTGGGCCATTCCCAGAGGTTTTTTGTCCCCCCCCAGGTGTTTTTTGGACCATTCCCAGGTGACTTTGGGCACTCCCAGACGGTTTTGCCATTCCCAAGTGATTTTTTGGCACCCCCAGGTGATTTTTGACCATTCCCAGGTGATTTTTGTCCCCCACAGGTGATTTTTGGCATCCCCAGGTAACTTTGGGCACCCCCAGATGACTTTGGGCCATTCCCAGGTGGTTTTTGGGCACCCCCAGGTGATTTGTGGCACCCCCAGGTGGTTTTTGGACCATTCCCAGGTGATTTTTGGCACTTTTGGGTGATTTTTGGGCCGTTCCCAGGTGGTTTTTGTCACTCACGTCGTTCTCGGAGGTGCCGCAGATGTTGCAGCACTTGCACTCGATGCACTGCCAGCGGTACGTCTTCACCGCAGCCATCATCACCGGCGTGAACTGCAGGCACGAGGGGTGCCCTGGGGACACAGGGGACATTGGGGACATTCAGGGACACAGGGGACATTGGGGACATTTGGGACATTGGGGGGATTGGGGACATTGGGGACACTGGGGACAGGTACATCTTCACCGCAGCCATCATCACCGGCGTGAACTGCAGGCACGAGGGGTGCCCTGGGGACACAGGGGACATTGTGGACATTGGGGACATTCAGGGACATTGGGGACATTTGGGACATTGGGGGATTGGGGACATTGGGGACACTGGGGACAGGTACATCTTCACTGCCGCCATCATCACCGGCATGAACTGCACGCACGAGGGGTGCCCTGGGGACACAGGGGACATTGGGGACATTCAGGGACATTGGGGACATTCAGGGACACAGGGGACATTGGGGACATCCAGGGGAATTGGGGACATTGGGGACATTGGGGACAGGTACATCTTCACTGCCGCCATCATCACCGGCGTGAACTGCACGCACGATGGGTGCCCTGGGGACAATGGGGACACATTGGGGACATCCAGGGGGACAATGGGGACACAGGGGACATTGGCGACATTGGGGACAATGGGGACATTGGGGACAGGTACGTCTTCACTGCCACCATCATCACCGAATGAACTGCAGGCACGACGGGTGCCCTGGGGACATTGGGGACATCAGGGGGACATTGGGGACATCAGGGACAGATGGAAACCCTCAGACCCCAGACCCCAAATGCCCCCTGGCCCCATTTTAGAAGGAAACCCTCGGACCCCAGACCCCAAATCTCCTTCCCAGCCCCATTTTAAAGGAAACCTCAGACCCCAGACCCCAAAGGTCCCCCCCAGCCCCATCCCAGAGTGAAGCCCTCGGACCCCAGACCCCAAAGCGGTGCCCGACCGGAGCGGCCGCAGTCGGAGCAGGACACGAGCTCCTCGGGCTGTCCCGTCTTCTTGTTGATCTTGGAGTCGCCCAGGCAGAAGTCGCAGTAATTGTTGGGGAGGGCCAGCCCGTCCGGGCCTTCTTGGCTGCACAGGGAACAGGGACAGGGATTGGGGTTGGGATTGGGAACAGGGATTGAGGATCAGGGAGCGGGGACAGGGATCGGGGACAGGGAGCAGGGATAAAGGACGGGGGATGAGGGATCAGGGACAGGGATTAGAGATTGGGGAGCAGGGGTTAGGACAGGGATCAGGAATCAGGGATTAGGGACAGGGAGCAGGGATTTGGAACAATGACCAAGGATCAGGGATTAGAGATCAGGGGACAGGGATCAGGGGACAAGGATTAGGATAAGGGACAGGAATTAGGGATTGAGGACAGTGATCAGGGATCAGGGGACAGGGACCAGGGACAGGAATCAAGGATTAGGGATCAGGGAGAGGATTAGGGAAGAGGCATCAGGGATCAGGAATTAGAGCTCAGGGATTAGGGACAGGGATCAAGGATCAGGAATCAAGGATCAGGGATTAGGGATCAGGGACAGAGATAGGAATGAAGGATCAGGGACAGGGATCAGGGATTAGGAACGGGGACAGGGATTAGGGACAGAGATCAGGGACAGGGACGAGGAATCAGGGACAGGGATTAGAGATCAGGGATCAGGGACAGGGATCAGGGATTGGGAACAGGGATCAGGGACAGGGATGAGGGATCAAGGATCAGGGACAGGGATCAGGAATTAGGGACAGGGATTAGGGATAAGGGACAGGAATCAGGGACAGAGATCAAGGATCAGGGGTCAGGGATGAGCACAGAATCCCCCCGGAACCGCTCCCAACTCCTCGGCCAATCCCAGGGGAATTTTGGGGCAATTCTGGGGGGATTCTGGGGGGATTTTGGGGGGATTTTGGTGCTTTCTCACATTTCTGCTCCTCGGGGCGCGGGGCCACGGGCGTGGGCGGCTGCGAGTCGTCCTTGTCGTCGCCCTCCTCCTCGGCCAGGTGCGAGTGCGCGTAGTGGTAGCTGAGCCCGGGCCGGTTCTTGTAGCGCTTCCCGCAGACTGAAACAACCGGGGAAATCGGGAAAATTGGGGAAAATCGGGAAATCTGGGGAAAATCCGGGAAAATCCCGGGAAAATCCTGGGGAAATTGGGAAAATCCCAGGGAAAATCCCCGGGGAAAATCCTGGGGAAAATCCAGGAAAATCCCAGGAAAATTCAGGGAAAATCCAGGGAAATCTGGGGAAATCCGGGAAAATCCGGGAAAATCCTGCGGAAAATCCCGGGAAAATGTGGGAAAATCTGGGAAATTCTGGGAAAGTCCAGGGAAATCTGGGAAAATCCTGGAAAAATCCGGGGAAAATCCGGGAAATCCAGGAAAATCGGGGAAAATCCTGTGAAAATCCGGGAAAATCATGGGAAAATTCGGGAAAATCTGGGAAATTCTGGGAAAATCCTGGGAAATCCAGGAAAATCCGGGATTCGGATGCAAACCCCAGAATATGGGGATTTGGGTACAAACTGCAGAACTGGGGGTGG